AAAGAGCGAAGAACAAACCCTAGGAGCTATTTGGAGTGGATTTCTCACCATTGAAGCCCAGATTGCATCCCCAGGAGTGAAGATTGACATCCCAGAGCAGATTTTCCTCATCTTTATGAGTATGACTACTCTGATTTCTGTTTTCCTCTCTCTCTCTCTCGATGGAGTAGAACCCTTCTCTCACTTGGGTATGAAGAACCCTAGTTCCATGTGTTAGGGATTTTATTGTAATGACTTGGGATGATTATACTGTTTGGTTTTAATCGAATGATGCATGTTTTATTGAATTGATTGAAGTCTGATCAGCTTTTCTTGATTTCTGCTGCAACCTGAGATAGATAGAATCTGATTAGTTTGTTAGAGCTTCTTTATTCGATAGTAGGAGATTGGTTATACGAGAGTTAGCCAGTTTACTGCTTTGTACTGGAATTCAATTCCATTAGTGGAGTTCTGTGCTCATTGCTTCAGCTTTCTGTCCCGGTAAAGACTAGTCGTTTGCCGGGTAGTTAGACTGAGAGGGCTTGGTCAGCTTAAGAAATTCCAAGCTACTGTCGGATCTTCCGCAGTCTAATCAACAGTAAATCAACCCCAGGGTAATTACAATTGAACCTAACTAAGGAGCTAGGGGGACTCATTTCTCGAGTGACTCTTCCCTGCTTGAGAAAACCGAACCATTTCCTGCTTTCTTACTGCTTTTAGTTTTAACAACAATCAATCGACTTAGTTGGCTAGATAATAAATAATCACGGAGTAGGCAGTAGATCTAGACCCCGGGTTGATAATAGAACTTGCCTGTTACTGCATTCCCGGACTGCGATTACACTTTGTCGCAGTTTGGTGTTGTGTCTTTGGAGCGGCAGAGCCGAGCGGAACCAAGAAGCAGCTGTTGTGGCGATCGCGAGCTACGAGGAAGAAAATCTCAGTATTCTTTTCCTTTTGCTTTGATTCGTGACCTGATGATTATGAACATGATTATATCTTTTGATTTCGTCATGAACTAAACCCCGATTTCTGGGGGGAAACACCATAGGATGTAGCTATTTCTATATTTGATGGATTGATTCATAATTCTTTTCTTCCAATCTCTATTGCATGAAATTACTTAATGCTTTGTGTTGACTGGCCACCAATACATTTATTTGTTGTTGATTAGGTTATTAGCGACAGTGAAACCCTAATAACTAAACATATTTCATGTGACATAGTAACTTATCAAAGCGACACTGGATTAAATAAGGTACTATGCGGTCTTGATTGGGATATCGTTCTTCAGGCTAAATAGTTAATTCATTGAGCTACGACAGTAGGATTTGAATTAATTGTTTAGTACGTAGTAATTCCCGACAGGGATAGCTGGCACATTCGTGATATCCTGGCTGTAGAGATATGGATTAAACTGATTGGAATATGTGAATTAATTTGGATATGATAGGTAGTGAATTCCGGTGTTGCTCCTAGAGCTTTCTCCGTTGAATTTCCCCCGACAGTTTTCATTTGCTTAATTTGTTTAGTTTATTTTCCTTTTATAAATTACTCTCATTCAACTATTTTCACTTATAGTTTGCTCATAGAATTGATATATTATAAGGTTGTACCAGTCCCTGAGAGACGATACCCGGACTTTCCGGTTTTACTACGAGATAAGAAATTGGCATTACGCTTTTGCCCTATCACACGCGGCGGAATTTCAACCCCCTAAAGTGGAGCGGCTTCCCGCATGACCTTCTCATCCCATTCTCGCCCTTGCACAGCGCCCGAAAATTCTCCGCTGTCCGCGACATCGCGCCCGCGAACAGCTTCATCATGATCTGGCCCACCGGGGTGTTGCCGGCGGTCATGTCAAAGTAGACCTTGGGGTTGTTCGCCATCGTTAGACTGCGGAAGAGAAGGATTGAAATTTGAAGGGGATTTAGGGTTCCCCCCTCTTTGCCTGAGTTGATTGATCGATCCTCTGTGGGATGGGATGAGATGCTAACAATCAATTAAGTTAGCACCATAATAACTAATTCCAATTCCTATCTTTTATTATTATTTTTTTATAAATTTAAAGGTGAGTTTGTTAAAAGGGAATTTTTGGTAGGTGCACAGGTAATCCCACCTGTGTTGTGCGGTATTTGGAGGGAAACTCAATCGTCCCTCCTTCTCTTTCATCTATTTTTTCTTCCCCCCTCCATCCTCTCTAGTCGTCCCTCTCTCTTTCACTCAACGATCCGTCAGAATATTGAAAAGCCTTGCCGTCGTCGATTGCTTCTCCCTTGCCGCCTCCGTTATCCCCGTCGTCCAAATTGGCCTTGACTGCGTTATCATCTGCTTTAGCCTCGCGTGCGCCGCCATCGTCTGCATCTGGGTGGCCTCCACCGTCCTCGCCTGCGTCATCATCATCTGCAACGGTATCGCCTTCTCGCCGTCGTCAACTTCAGCCTCACATGTGCCATTGTCTGTATCGGCGCGACCTTCGCGCGTCCTCACCTGCATCGTCATCGTATGGGTTTAGAATTTCAGATCTGGCTCTTTCTTGCCTACTCTTTGTTTCGATCTAAATTAGTAGTGATTTTCAAGACTAGTAGTATGCAAAGGTAGTAGTATTGTTTCTTCAGTAGTGTTTTTCATATCTTGGTGCGTAGTGATTGTGAAGGTTGGTACGGATTCATGATTGTGTGCGGAGCTATAGTAGTGTTTTTAATTTCAGTAGTGAAAGTTAGTAGGTCTGTTTAGTAGTGATTTTAGTTCTATGTAGTAATAGTTCTGTTACTTGTTATGTATGTATAGTAGTGATTTTCAGTTTTGGGAAAATAATATTTGTAGTCATTTTGTATCAAATTGTTGTAATATTAGTTTTCCAGTAGTAGAAGCCTTTTGCTGGACTTGGTGATGTCACCGGCAATGTAGTCAAAAGCGAGTTTCTACGTAGAAACGTTTTGGTGATCTAGAAGCGCAAAATCGTAAGTTCTTAAGTTTTAAAGCGGGATTTTTAACTACATAAGTTATAGAAACTGATATTTTGTGTAGAAACGTTTTAGTGATCTAGAAACGTAAATTCGTAAGTTTTTAAGTTTTAAAGCGCAATTTTGACTACATTGGTCACCGGCACACTGCATTCAAAATCCGAAAAAATTGAAAACAAATTCTGCCACAAAATTCAGAATGGAAACCGTTCGGTAATGGCAATCGCCCAAAATCCGCCCGATAATCCCCAAAATCCGCCCGCTTCCGCTATAAACATATTTAAATTTGCAATTTAGTTTTGCTATTATACTTTTTTTTTTATATTTGTAGCCGTTAGATCTGAAATAGAGATGGAGGGTTTAGATGGTAGTTAGTATGGTGCTAACTCCCTATAGAGTTAGCACCCTATCTTCTCCCATCTTCTGCGCTCGTGTATACATAGTAGCAATGGGAATAATCTTTCCATGAGTCGATCGTGACCGCCGATTTTGACACGTGTACGTGTAGTGGGGAGGGAGTTTTGGTGGGAGCAGCGTGAACTTGACGCTAGGGTCTAGTAATAAAATATCTTAACGAATAGATAACGAGTCGGAAAGCAGGATTCGCGCTAAAAGATGTTGGGCCAAAGCCCAACTGAAAACTGGATGGGCATTCCTAAGACATTGGGCTCACACCCGTTTCAAATTCGTACCAAAAGGCCCTTCAAAGAAATCCTACCTGGTTGGCTGGTTCATAATTTGGTTGGCCGTAGAGACCAAAGAAGAGAGTCTCCCTGATTGGCTGGTTTGACAGTTTGACTACAAAGAAAGGGCTTGCTTCTTGCTTCGTCCTCTCACCACGTGGCGACAAGTGATCAAGTCTCTGGTTTTTTGTGGTTAGATCCCACATTTAGAATACAAACTCGAGGCAGAGCCGGCAATTGGCAGCAAATGATGGCCGGCTCTTGCCTTGTTCTTCTCTTTAACTTTTATTTTCCCTATCATCATCAGCTCATCGACAAATTGGTACGAGCTGTGGCTGTTTGTTGGATTCGTTGTAATTCTGATTCACACCTCCTTCATGGATTTTTTTTTTATCGTTTTTTGTACTTCATTGTGCACGGCAAGATGCTCCTTTCAAGGTCACTCAAATAGTTGATCTAGTGTAAATTTCGTCGGAACAATAAAAGGTTTGATCTTATGATAATATTAGATGAAAATGTTTACCGCACATTGGATTCGAACTCAAAATTTGGTTCAAATATTATGAAAATATATTATTGAATTGAGATTTTTTTTTATAAACCATATAATTAACGATAACAACATTTGGATTGAGTGAGGAAAATGAAATTTCCTCAAAAGGGATCAATCTTGTACACATTAATATCAATACTGCCTAAACTTCAAATGGGAATAGGAAAAATTATCTAATTCTAGAATCTCATAGTGTTTATGTAATTTTTCCCAACGACATTACTTTGGTGACATCCATTGTCATGTGGTAGACTTTCCTATTTTTGTGGTAGTTGTTGTCACGAGTCACGACATTCTCTTCTTAGTCCTAACAACTAACAAGTACTTCAAACTTTGATGAAAGTTCAGACAACATTCAAACTTTTGATTTTCAATCTTATAATTTAAATTATGAACCTTAATCATTTGGGGAAAAAAAATTCGAGCTGCTTTCGTCCAAATAATAATAAAAATAATTAATTAGCATATAATTATATAAAACTCATTGATTCATTAGTCGTGTCACCGGTTAAAACAACAACTGCATAAAAAATTAAAAGAAAGAAAGGGCAACAACTTCAAACTGCTTGGTTGGCTCTTAGCACTTAGCACTAGCAGCACAGAAAAATTGATGTTAAAGAGTTTTCTATCTCCATGTCACCTCTCTAACACAAGGGGAAAAAAAGAAATCACATTCTCTCCCAACCCCAAACCATGGGTTGTTGTTGCTGTTCTTCTTCTTCTTCTTGTTCTCGTTGATTCTCCATTTCCTGAGCCGTCTCAACAAAAAAACCCCATTTCAGGAAACTGGTTTTCCTCTTCTGGGTTTTTTTTCCAGCAATGGACCAGAAGACCATTTCCAAGCAGCTAATCTCATCCGTCGCAACCTTCATCACCACCCAACTAACCAACAAGGAGAAGCGACTCCAGCACAAAGACCACTGCGCCGAGCGCTTGTCCGCCAAAGATGGCGCCTCCACCAACGCCGACGACCAAGCCGAGGTCCGATACTCCGATCAGGCCGTGCTGGCCAACTTGGATTGGGGGATGGAAGCCCTCGAAGAAGCCATCGGAACCTCCAACAGGGAAACCAAACTCGCCCGGTTGGAATACGCCGAGAAGCTCCTCCAGGTCTGCGCCATGCTCGATTGCAGCCAGACCACCGCCGGCGTCCCCAACTTCTACCTCTCCGCCTGGGCCCACCTCAACCTCGCTTACCTCTGGAAGCTGCGCGGCAGCTCCCACAAGGCGTTACACCATGTGATGGACATGTTCGTGATCGACCCTTTCTTCTCCAGGGTCGATTTCGCTCCCGAGCTCTGGCAGGAGCTGTTTCTCCCCCACATGGGCCCCGTCGCGGCGTGGTACTCCCAGGGGAGAAACAAGATAGTGATGGAGGTGGTCCCCGATTCCGCGGACCTGTCGTTCACGGCGGATTTGGATCAGTTCTTGAACGAGGAGTTTCTGTACTCCATGACGCCAGAGCAGATCGAGGTGGTGCAGAGGTTGGAGCAGGTTTATGGGGAGTCGTTGGATGAGAACACTAGGGCGTTTGCTAGGTACTTTATGGAATGTGTCAATTTCGATTCTTCCTCGCCGCCGGGGAGCAGGAGGATGGTGGCGCCGCCGGTGATGCCGGTTGCTGAGCCTCCGGTGATGAGTCATGTTATGAGGACCAAAAATGGCGGCCAGCAATCCACCAGGTTAGTCACATAAGTGCGTAATTTTGGTTTTCATCGATGTTCCTTACGAAGACAAATTTTGGGATTCTTCAAGGTGTGATGTAATTTATTCTCACCTTTGTTCTTTCAGCCGGCCAGGGTTTTCCACATTTTTAAGAACAGAGTCGAACTTGTTGGGTGTTCGGGTAAGTGTGAAAGAGATCTGCCGTTATGAACTTGGAAATTCTGCAATTTGTCTCGTCCTGGAGTTCAATTCTGAAATGGAATTGTCATTAATTTTTATTCTTCCCAGGAGCCAATTCTTGAAGAGGACGAAGAAGAAGAAGAAGATCTGGAGCCCGAAACGAACCAGAAACAACCGGGTCCCGGGCGCAGGGAAGCTGGGCAGAGCGCTGTCCGATCATCAAGGCCATCTCCTGGAGCTTCTCCTCGGACTCTGTCTTGTTCTTCATCTTCATCATCTTATTCTTCTTCTCCTTCTCCAAACCCGGCATTGCGGCTTCTTCGTACTCAAACCAGAGGTTCCTCTGTTTCCAACTCCTCCCCTGGCTCGCCAACCATCCACAGCGACACCAGCTTCAGCTCGCCAAGATCGGACGTCGATGGATCGGTAGGTTGCATTCGATGAATCGTTCAATTAAGCTTGCGATTTTGAATCGGTATGTGACAAGGTTATTGAACCAATTGTCAGTCTCAGGACTTGAGGAGAAGTGGTAATGAAAGGAATGGTCGAATAAGAAACATGAGTTATGAAACTCTCAATAATCCCTGCTTTGAAAACAGGTAAAAAAAAAAAAAAGTCCCCTGTTTTTTCCTCTGTTTCATTTCCATTTTCAACTAACTCTGTTTCTTTTCCCCCCCACTTTATATCCTTTATTTTCCAGCTCAGCGAACGACTTGGACGATGGAAACCAGAGCTGCATCTCGATACCGATCTCCGACAAGTTGAGTTCATTACGGACGCGGCCACCGAAGGATTTCGTCTGCCCGATCACCGGAATGTTGTTCAACGATCCGGTGACACTAGAGACAGGGCAGACCTACGAGAGGAAAGCAATTCAAGAGTGGCTGCAGACGGGGAACGCCACGTGTCCTATCACACGGCAGCCACTCTCCGCGAACTCCTTGCCCAAAACCAACTACGTCCTGAAACGGCTCATCACTTCATGGAAAGAGCAGCACCCCGATCTTGCCCACGAGTTCTCTTACTCCGAGACCCCTAAAGCCAGCCCTGCTCCGCAAGCTAAAGAAAACTCACAAGCCTCTAATCCTAATTCCGCAAGGACGATCAAGAGTAGCGAAAATCGACAGAGGGCGACAAGATTCGGAGCGACAGCGACAGTGTCCGATTCCCCAACCAGCGTGCTCTCCCAAGCTGCGATCGATACGATCCTCAACGGTTTGAAGCCTTACATTTCTTGTTTGTGCACGTCGGATAATCTTCAGGATTGTGAGTCGGCTGTGGTGGCGATAGCCAGGCTTTGGAAAGACGCCAGGGGAGATCCAACAATCCAGATCTACCTGTCGAAGCCCACAGTGGTCAATGGATTTGTGGAAGTCCTCTCAGCTTCTCTGGACCGAGAAGTTCTGAAGCTGTCAATCTTTCTCCTCTCGGAGTTGATGTTCGTGGACGAGAGCGTCGCGAGGACTCTGACCAATGTGGACTCCGATTTCGACTGCCTAGCGGCCTTGTTGAAAAATGGGTTGTCAGAAGCTGCCGTTCTCGTATACCAGCTCAGGCCGAGCTATGCTCAGCTCTCGTCGCACGACTTCATACCGTCGATCGTGCAGTTGATCATGCGGAAGAAGAGTAAAGAATCCGATGATGTTGAGCTAGTGTTGGATCCAGTAGATGCATCCATTGCGATGTTGGAGGTTTTGCTGACGGAAGGGGATGAAAGTACTAGGGTGGCTAATGCTACGAGTGTGATTAGCTCCCATGGGATTCCTGCGCTGGTCAAGTGTCTGGAGAGGGCAGAGAGCAGGAACTCTGTGGTATCCATACTTTTCTGTTGCATGAATGCAGATAAAAGCTGCCGGAATTTGATCGCTAAGAGGATAGAACTCTCTCCTGTCCTCGAACTGTTCCATTCTGGTGCGGATAGCGTGAAAGCCAAGTGCATAGATTTCCTAGCCGAACTCGTGAGGCTAAACAGGTATTTTTCGTGCAACTCATTCTCGTTCTATTTTAAACAGGTATGTCGGGAAATGTGTACATAAGATGTTCAACATTAATGCGGTTCAAGTTCACTCAAATAAATATTATCATGCTTATTCCTCAGTTTACGGATAAGAAAAGCTCATTGTGATTAGTTTACACATAAGAAAGTTTGAATTTATGACTTCTACATGTTTTAGTTTTTCTTAGTTGAATTTTTTCTGGCAAACATTTAAACGATGAATTGATACAATAAGCGAATTATTAGAATGCACCGATTGTAATTTCTATGGATGGATTTTGTTGTGAAACTTAGTTTGATGAAGGCACAATCCCTCATCACAATCCTCCATGCAAACTACTCTTTTTTAAGAATGACATTCATAAGTTATATCAAATTCATTTCCTTCATTCATTATCCAGGAGGAACTCTTGCAATCAGATTTTGAAGATAATCAGGGACGAGGGAGCATTCAGCACGATGCACACATTTCTGGTGTACCTTCAAATGGCCCCAATGGAACAACAACCTGCAATTGCTACTCTTTTGCTTCAGCTCGATCTACTAGTATGAACTAAAGTTGTTATTGTTCATGTCCGAGAAGCTTAAATCAACAATGGAAACTCCAATCTAATTTTCAATATTTCCCAGGTTGAGCCTCGTAAGATGAGCATATATAGAGAGGAAGCTGTGGAGGCACTAATTGAAGCACTTCAAAGAAAGGACTTCGCCAGCTCCCAAATGATGGCTTTGGATGCTATAGTATCTCTCTCTGGTCGCCTGACTTCCACGGGGAGGTCTTACATGGAGTCGTGGTTGCTTAAGATGGCAGGCTTTGATAAGCCTTATAACAACCTAATGAAGGCTGAGAGGTCAATGAAGTTTGACAATGACTATGCGGAAACAATGGTTAGTTAGTTTGCACACTCCATTGGTGAAAAATGAAGTATTTTCATCCTAAGATGTAATTTTGTTCATGAATTTTTTGGCTTCATTGATAGGAGGAGGAAGAGAAAGCGACGAGTTCTTGGGAGAGACGCGTGGCATTTGTGTTGTGCAACCATGAGAATGGTGCAATCTTCAAGGCCCTGGCAGAATGCTTCAAAAGTAACTCAATTGAAATGTCGAAATCCTGCCTCGTGGCGGCTTCCTGGCTTACTCACATGCTCTCAGTCCTCCCTGATACTGGGGTGAGGGATGCAGCTTCCAAGGCCTTGCTTGATGAGTTTGTCAACACACTCCAATCAGGAAGTGTGGAGGAGAAGATTATGGCAACCCTCTCTTTGAAGAGCTTCGTTACCGATCCAGGTAATTGATAGAACTTAAATGCAACCACAATCTCACTATAGGAAGAAGAATGTCTTAAGCACATTTGCATGGTTTCCATTCTTGAAGCTGCACTTCAAGAGCTGGGGAAATATGCTAGATGCATATACAAGACATTAAGGAAGCTGAAGAAATACTCACCCATTATCTCAGATGTTCTGAAATCTTTGATCAACTCTTCCTTTGTTGATGCTGTAAGTTTGATCAATTTTTTTAGTCTGCTCTTTCCTTTCCTCCTTTTTTCTAAGCTTATGAATATTTTTCCTTTGTTAACAGTCAGAGTTATGGAATTGGAGTGAAGTGGTTGAGTTGGAATCATGTCAGAATGGTGAAGTGCTATCTTTGGTTCATCTGAAAGGCAGACTGCTAAGCAGCCATTCCGATGGTACAATTAAGGTGCACAAATGGATCTAAACGAAACAGCTTATCTGACAATATCTACTTGCACTGCATAAATGTTTATAGACACGGTGAATTACATTACTTTGTTTGTATGTTATAGCTATGGGACGCAGGAAAGAGGGTTCCGAGAGTGATCCAAGAAGTTCGAGAGCATTCCAGAGCTGTCACTTGCCTTTACCTTTCCCCTGGCGACAACAAGCTATACAGTGGTTCTTTAGACAAGACAATTCGAGTGAGCTTACCAAGAACGAGATACTTTTTTGTATCATTTCAAAAGGATTAAGGTATGATGCTAATTAGTGTGTTATTTTTGTTTGTGGTGCAGGTTTGGGCGATCAAACCAGAAGAGATTCATTGTGTCCAAGTTCATGATGTGAAAGAGGGTGTCTATGACTTGACGGCCAGCTCCAAAGTCGCTTGCTTTGTCACTCAATCAACTGGTGTAAAGGCAAGTTACCATTTCCTTGAAAACAAAGCATAAAAACCAGAAAAAATAAAATGCTAATAAAGGTTTTTACTGAACTTACTGGGTTATTTTGGGAACAGGTTTACAATTGGAGTGGAGGTCCAAGGCATGTGAATTTCAACAAGAATGTGAGGTCTCTGGCCATGTCAGGGGACAGGTTGTATTGTGCATGCTCTTGTTATAGTATCCAGGTAGATATACATTAATTCCGTACTAGCTACTTCATATAAATTTGCTAAATTCCAAAAACTCATGCTTGTAAAATTTATTTTACCAGGAAGTGGACCTCTCAAAGCTCACATCAACGCCTTTCTACTGCGGCACTCGAAAGCTGCTAGGAAAACAATCCCTCAATTCAGTGAAAATACAAGACGGGTTGCTCTTTGCCGCTGGTTCCGCGCTCGACGGAACGGCGGGGAAACTGTTTGCGCTCTCTAATAGTAGGGGTCCCGCTTCCGTGGCCGGTTCGCTTTCCACGAGCTTTGACGTTAAGCACATCACAGTTAACAATGACTTCATAATCACCGCCTCAAAGTGGGGGGTTATCGAAGTGTGGCTTAAAGAAAGAGTCACCAAAATTGCTAGCATGAGAACCAACGGCGGTGGGAATGCCAAGGTGTCTTGTCTGACCACAGATTCCGACGGCGGGATGTTGTACGCTGGCTCTTCCGACGGAAAGATTCAAGTAAGTAGATTGCACTGCCCACTTCTCCTGTTGAACAATAAACCACTTAGTCCCGATAACTCGAAGTTCTTGGAAAATGGTTGTCATTTCTTTTTCTCTTACATCGCCCAAAGTGTACATAGAATAATTCGTGTGGGGTTCGGATTTGCAGGTTTGGGCGCTAGACTAAAGGAGAAGGATGCTGTTTTGGTTTATAAATTTTAGCTGTTGTTTTGGGCCATAGATTTGCTTGTGTAAAAAGATTGTGAACCATGGGCGACCCATGTACGTACTTTGTCCAATTAGTTGATTGTGTCGCCAAGTTGATGTTTAGTGTTAATTGTCCCTTAACCCTAATTACCAAGACTGTACAGATTTTCCTAAGCATTTGTGTTGTATGTTGTCCGTCGATACTATAAATAGTTGATCAGTTCTATAATTATACTCTTGAATTACACCATTCAGTTCCTTCATCAACTCGTAATTCTCAGTTCATGACTCAATATGCATAGTTAGGGGAAATGAAAAATTCTTGAAGTTGTTGTTGCGATCGTAGATTTTTCAGCTAATGTGCTCACATAACATCTATTACATCGGCGACCACCTCCAACAAATAAATGAGATAAAATAACTAAGAAACAAAGGAAGGAAATCGTCATATACTTCAATTCACTACATTAATGACATTCACTTGACGCACCGCCATCGAACAATCGTCATGAGATATTTGTATCCAAACTCATCATTCAATTTTCATGCTTGTCAATGAAGAAACAAAAAATGGATAAATAAACAAAAAGAATGTAGAATTGTGAATGGATGGTGAGATAAGCTATATATTATACACAATTGAGCTCGAGCATATATCCATGGACATAAGATAAGATGCACAACTCCAGCTATATACAAGCCCTCTAAAAATTAAGGGATTAATGTTCCGCTCTGATTTCTATCTAATTACAATTTTGTCTTTGTCATCCAATCGACGACAACAACTAGGCTAGATCAACTAATTTAGTATTAGCCCAAAGTCCATTAGTTGTATGGTTACTTAATCCACTAATAATCCTGTAGATATTTTCCCCTTATCAGTCACATACAACCAATGTAGTGGAAATCGTGATTTTATGTCAAATAAAAAACTGAGGCAAAATCGGAATTATAGACAACACTTAAACTAGATCATGGGCAAAACCTGACCTGACCGGCCTAATTTTGCACCAATTGAACGGAACCTTGAAATCATACAAAATCGTATAAATTATAGATTTTAAAGATTTTACCGTTTTAAATCGGGATATTATAGGATTTTAAGGTTCAAAGATTGACTCGCTTGAATCTACACTACAATTAAATCCAATTAGAGCCCAATTTTTTAAACTCTAATCGGGTGTAGTATAGGGCAAGTATCTATATATCGACCTGGGCCGGTCCGTCTACTCCTACTCGGTTGTTGAAATCATTATCTAGCGATAAAACTTTGGTTTAAAGGTTTGCCATTTGAAATGAAAGAAAGCAAAAGTAATTTGGTTTGAAAACTCTTTTGTGGGAAAGTCACCTGGGTTTCGCTTCCCCCTAAACCGCTACCATGTTACGTGGGTTGGAACGATTGCCTTGGGCACGCTAATCGTGAACCACAGAGAAAAGTGTATGTGGTTGGGGACCACAGTCTCAATTGCTAAACCGAGGTGAGGATGAAAGGTCGTGTCACTCGACCCTCTCGGTTTAGACAATCGGTAATTGGCTTACTTCCTCACTCAACTCTAGGGTCGGACGATTTAACCACGATTAATCGACTTGTTCAATTCAATATTGAGGATTTCCCTAACTCAACCTAGTTTAGGTGGCTTGGAAAGTGGAAGAAAAACCAACTCGATTGAATCTCCCTTAAAAAGGCGGATTTTCCTCTCTAAACTAGGCTAAGTTGGCAAATTAGATTACTAGCACCTAAATGCACAAACTTAGGGGTGCTAAGCACAATTATGCACAACCCTAGGGTGCTAAGCACAAAATATGCACAACCCTAGGATGCTAAGCACAAGATATGCACAACCCCTAAGTTGTTGAGCACAAGAATGCAAAATCATGGTGAAAAATACCTCAAACATTAAATTGAACAATGCCCAATATCAATCATTCAAACCACATACAAGAAAACTACATAGTAGGGTTTAGGGTTTCACTACACCCAAGTGGGAGGAGGACTACTCCATGGAAGAAAAGGGAAGAACAAAGGAGAAAAAGGTGGGAACCATCTTTTGGGGATGCCTCCTCTCTTCTTCAACCTTGAGCTGGGATTTCCTTGGGAAAATCTTCCCAATACCTCCTTTGAAACCAAGCCCTAACTCCTTCTCTCTTGGTTCTGTTTCTCTCACTAAAATGCAGAAGAAGTGTTTCTCTCACAAAAAGTGGCTCTCCTTCTCTTTCCTTGCAGCTAAGCTTTTAAACACGAGAGGAGCTGAGTTCACGGCCCGAGTTCATGGCCGTGAACTCTTAAACGCATCCATGAACTCATGCCTTGCGCCAAAACGCTCCGCATCGATCACGGCAGTTCACGGGCAACTGCTTCTGTTCACGGTCTTAGTGACCGTGAACTCGCCTTGCGTCAGTAACCTTCAACTTGGCTCTGGACGCCTTGCGCTTCATGGTCAACTCCACTTCTTCACGGTCTTGCACGACCGTGAAATCTGCCTTTAGCCGTGAACTTGCTTTTTTCACCTCTTCTCCCGGTTTTCGATCCTTTTCGCCAATCCTTCGATTCCGAGGCTGGTTCCACCTGTTAAATCCTGAAAATCACTCAAACACACAGAACCTCGCGTAACACCAACCTCTAATGAGCTAATTTGGCACAAACATCTAAGCAAACCGGGGCAGAATATGTGCAATTAGGCCCGAATCACTCCCCCACACTTAGACGTTTGCTTGTCCCCAAGCAAACCATTTCACGCACACGATAATATTTCAACCTACACAAATGCTTTTGGGACAACTCAAAGGACACGAAGTGGGAATTCTCGATGTTTATTGACAATCAACACATGAACCGTTGCAAACAATACCGGCATCCACCACAAACGACATTCAAAGCCACCAAAACGGGCAAACGAACAGTTCTCAACCTATTCATGGATAAATGCAAGTCTAAAAAAAACCACTTATCGAACACAACCTACCATGCATGGAATTCAAGTCCGAGGAGAAAATAGTAAGGCAACAAAGGTCCTCACTGGGGTATTATATGACATGCAAAGCAAGAATGAATCGCTCACTCTCAAGACTAGTCGGGTCGGGACCTTTTTGGTGCAAAAGATGTGCCCAATCGTAACCTCTCGGCCCTATTGTCTCAATACCACGGCGGTAACCTCTAAATGCTAGATTTCATGGGATGGTTGTCACCACTAGCTCGTCCGGAGGTCTTAGACACGGGTTCAGATGACTGGCGATTGGCTTGGACATGGGGAAAAGGCTTTTTGGGTGGTGACAATCATGACGTGAGGTTCTACATCTTTAACCTAAACCCGAAGGGTCTATGGTTTCGACTAAAACCCTTCTCTTCAATTAAAGGCCATTAGAATCAACCAAAACCCTTATCTCTCCCTTCCAACTATCATGAACTACCTTGAAGCACTCTTCCTCGGTCAACTCTTGCTAGTTCTTTAAGGTTTGGTAGTGAAGTAGTTTTAAACAATGTGGGGGTTTAGTTGGCTTGGGTGCCAAGAAACCCCTCATAAAGCATGTACTTTGGTTTTTCGTGGCACTCTCTACTTTATTTACCCCATTTTAATACCCCTTTTTTCGTTACTCTTTTCTTTTTCTTTTTGAGGGGGATATTAGAGAGTAAAACACTTGTCACCTAAACATTTATCGACCAATGCTCTATTTTTGAGAAACTACTCCAACACTACACTCCATTTTGCACTCCTAGCAAGAACCACACATGAACCTTCTATGTAGAACCTCTATGGAAACTAAACGGTAAGAGTTCCGAGACACACGGGCGACTTATGTTTGGACACGAAGAAAGGATTTGGGGGTCGTTCTTATAGGTGTCAATCGGGCGGGTTCGGGTTGGGTTCAATCGTGTTACGGGTTAGTCGGTTTTCGGGTTTATCGGGTTACGGGTCAGTCGGGTTCTGGTTAATCGGGTTGCGGGTCAATCGGGTTGCGGGTCATCTGGTTACAGGTCGGACGGGTTGCGAACGGATCGGGTTGCGGGTTGTTCGGATTCGCGCACCGTGTTACTTACTCATTCAAGTTTACAAATTATTTTTTCACTGATTTCAAACATTTTTTGACAAATTTTATAGAACTTGTTTCTACCTTGGATAATTACTTATACAAGTTAAAGAAACTTGTCAGTGTGTTGAATTAATTTTGTATATTTAAGATGATTGAGTTATTGCAATAGTATGATTTAAAAACTTGCCCTGTGAATAATCGTAGTTGGTAAAGTACATTAGTTACTAGTTATGGTAACATCTCCATCCAATAGTCCTATTACAACCACAAATTAAAAGGTGTACCATAACACAAATAAGTAAATCTCATATTTGGTTTAAAACAAAAAAAACATAGAAGAACTAACTCCACAAACATTAAAGTGACGTAATGAAGTGGTGTTTACTGTTTAGCATGCATAAATTGAAGATATGACACACAACTCATATATACAAGGGGTAATACCACTACAACACCCGAATTATCACAAAAATGTCACTTATATCCTATTGTATCAAATATTCCATATGTGTCCTGAACTATGATACTTTGTGTCATTTGTATCCTGTTAATTTCGTTGACCGTTAAAGATAACGGTTGACCAAACGGTGGTCAACGTGTAGTTGACTTTTGTTGACGTGGCAAAAAATGTGCCTGCCACATAGATGCCACGTCATTGACCTCATATTTTTTTAATTCAAATTAAATAAAAATTGAGTTATAAGTAAAATAAAAAATTCTTAGAAAATTAAAATAAAAAATAATTATTTGCTCCCCACCCCCACCCAATCTCCGCTTCTTCCTCTTCTTCCCCCTCTTCCTCTCCATTCCCAGTAACTTTGTCGCCAACCACCTCTTCCTCTTCCTCTCCATTCCCAGTAACTTTGTCGCCAACCACCTCTTCCTCTTCCCCTCTTCCTCTCCATTCCTAGTAACTTTGTGCCCACAATTGTTGCAGCCTTTGACTGAGAAATGGAAACCTGGTGGAGCTTCTACCATTTTTTCGAAGAACCCTAATTTTTCCAAAACAAAATTTGTTCAATTCAACTCAATCGAAGATTGAAATCATTAATAAAGCATTGTAATACGTTCTAGGTGGGAAGAGGTCGTTACATGGGCCTTGATTTGGAGTTTTTCCGAATGAGAAAGATGGTTGGAGCGTGCGGTGCCAAGGAGCCGGATGAAAATCTGCTGCATTTCTGGGTTCGAAAGGTAGGGTGAAGGACTGGGAGGTGGTGGCGACCAGGATCGACGCTGGC